GTCCTTGAACTCAAAGATCCATTTGCCTCTGCCTCTTGAGTGCTAGGAACAAAGGTGTGCACCACCATGCTCGATAAAATAAATAAGTAAATAAAAATTAAAAGAATAAAGTAGGCAAGGAGCATGTATTGATAGGCTCATTAGAAAATCTCTCCATTATCTACTTCTCATTTGTATTTTAATATAAAATATAACACCACTGAACACCATTTGATGAAAAATAGCTGTTCTTACAAATCATAGTCACTACTATTACTAATCATTTCATTACTAGTGACAGCAAGTAACCAGATGCTGTTGTCTATCACCTGTCTTTAGGAGAACAAGATGAACAGTTGAGCAAATGTGCCCCTAGGATTTAAGTGGGTTTTTTTTTTGTTGTTGTTGTTTTGTTTTGTTATGGTTTGGTTTGGTTTGGTCTTGATTTTGGTTTTAAGACAGGGTTTCCCTGTTTAGCCCTGGCTGTCATAAGACTGACTCTGACTTGTAAGCTTTAGCCTAATCAGAGAATGCAGCAACTGTACGCATTTAATTTTTTATTTAATTTCTAATATATTGACAATCTTTCAGTTAGCACAAAAATTCTGTAGAAACAGATTCTTCCAACGATTCATGATGAATTGGAGTTCTTTTCTACTGAGTATATACAACTAATTGAAAAAGGTGAAACATTTTTAGTAATTCAAGGAACTAATTTCATAATTATCCATTTATCTTCACAGCTTTCTGTCTGCTAAATTTATTCTAAATTCTTCCCTGGGTTCCTAATTAAATAATTAAATGGTATGCTTCATAGATTTACAGAGTAAGGCTGTTTTAATTTATTTGCTGAACAAATATGAACTAAGTCAGCTACATCAATTTTCATCATCTGAGAAACATCCACTCTTCAATTTGTTTTCTGACCATTGTGTGACTTTAGTGTCAAATAGCACTGAATTCTTATTGAAACAGACACAAGCAAAAAAAGAATCTAAGAAATCCAGAAGCAGGACCACTCTGTACATGTGTGATGGGATTCTGGCCTGCTTCTCTGGACCTGAGGTTTTCCAATGTTGGGAAAAAAATGACTGCTGAGCAGCGTGGCACAAGTGTGTCAGGACACCTACCTTCCTCTTACAGATGAAGAATCCTTTCTACAGGTCCCTTCTCACGTCTTATTGGCCCTAACTGGACTGTATACCCATCCCCTAACATTTGCCATTAGTGGGCATGGCACTACACCATGGTCACTCTGACCAGTGAAGATAATTGCAGCCTTCCTTGCATCAGAGTGAGTCAAAAGGGGGAAGAGTGGATCCCTAAAGAAACCTTGTGCTGTATAGTCACAATGTGTCAGAGAATGGATACTGAGTAGGAAACCAACAGTGTTGCTGTAAATGTGAAGATACACACTTACTTTATTTCCTAAAAACAGTATATAAGGCCTGTGCCCTGGCAGTTAAAAGGAATGAGTTTTATTATTGTTATTATTAATTACAATATTCACTTTGTATCCTGGCTGTAGCCCCCTCCCTCATCTTCTCCTGGTTCCACCCTCCCTCCCTCTTTCCCCTACCACATGTCCCTTCCCTATTTCACTGATAAGGGAGGTTCTCCTCCCTTACTATCTGACCCTGCCCTATCAGGTCTCATCAGGACTGTCTGAATCCTCTTTCTCTTTGTCCTAGCAAGGCTACCTTGCCAGAGGGATGTGATCAAAGAGCAGGCAACCAAATTCATGACAGACAGCCCCTACTCCCCTTACTAGGGTACCCACTTGAAGACTGAGCTGCCCATAGGCTACATCTGAGCAGGGTGTCTATGTCCTCTACATGCACAGTCCTTGATTCATCAGTCTCTGCAGGACACCCCCCCCCCCAACCCAGATTTTTGGCATGTTGGTCTCCTTGTGGAGCTCCTGTCCCCTCCAGGTCTTTCTATCTCCTCCTTCTTCCATAAGATTCCCTGCCCTCTGCTCAGTTTGGCTATGAGTCTCAGCATCTGCTTTGATACCCTATTGGGTAGAGTCTTTCAGAGGCCCTCTGTGGAAGGCTCTTGTCCTGTTCCCTGTCCTCATTCAAAAGGTCAAACAGGATAGACACAGGAAGTAAGAAAAGAATTAGTTTTATTTGAAAAAAATTCTTGTGGAATTATCCTTTAATTATAGTATAATTTTATAAAATTGGTCAGAAACTTTATAAACAGTATTTATCATCATCTTTATAAAAATATAGGATTAAGGATAAAATGAGTTCAATTAGGTATAATGTATGCTAAACTGCATTCATTCCTTTACCCAGAATATTTTTTATGACTACTAATGACTACCAAGTACCCAGGATATGGTACTTGACAAACAAAATTAACCACGTTGCTGTTCTCGTGCTTTTAGTCTGGAGACAGACAAAGACATTTATAAAAATAACTATTAAATGTGGACTGCTGGTACAGAAAAAGCTTCTGCGATAAGAAAAAACAGAGTGATGGTGGAGGCACCCCATCAGAAAACACAGCATATGGAAAGAAAGGCTTGTCGGCAGAGTGAGTAACGTGCATTTTGGGAACAGGAAGATTAGCGAACATGTTAGCTAAGCTCTGTCACCGAGACACCGACCTGACATAAGCAACCTAACTGGAGAAATGGTTGTTTTGGTTCGTAATCTGCTGTTATTTCTTGTCCCACAGTCGGGCGGAACACCATGGTGCTGGGAACGCGTGGCAGGAGAAATGCTGACTAGCTAAGTTTGGAAGATAGTCACAAGATGAGTGTATCCACGAGGGCATTGTCCGTGCACTTAGAAGGGCTGTGTGTATTTCCTACTGGAAACGGGAGACTGAAAGAAGTAAACACGCGAACTCGAGCGAGACACGGCTCAAGCACATGCTCTCCGTGATGGCGCTTCTTCCGGCCAAACCCCACTTCTGAGCCCATCAAGGGATTAAGAAGTTCATTAGATCAAAGCTCCAGCAGCTGGCAAACAAGCCCCTGTGCCTGATCACTCCTATTTAGATAACAGAGAGTTGTGGCAGAGTGTGACTTTGTCGGAAGCTTGCAGACTTTCTCTTCCTTGTCACCGGAAAGCCCTGAGAAGTCATCTAAAGGATTTGAGTTAGGAGTGTATTAGAGGTGACCAGGTTTATGATTTTGAATGGGTGGCTTTATTGTTTGGTAGAAAATTAATTGAATAGGTCAGAGTAGATGCAGGCAACTAGTAGCTAACTATCATCCTAGCAACAGCACAAGGGTATAAGAGTTAACATGAAAAGGACTATTTGGACTTGCTTGGTCCTTAGAAGATGAGAAATGGCAAGCCTTGTAATGGCGTGGCTATGTGGCATGAGGAACAGCAAGGTGGCATGGACTGTGAGCATAGCTTTTAGGCTTCTGGCTTGCATCTCTGGGTAGACAGTTTCCTTTCCCTAGAACATGGAATTCTAGAGTCCTAGTGTCAAAGAAGAAGGAATAGTTCTCAATATTGGATATGTTTACCCTGGAGCCTCTTTCACATACAGCAATATTGGGTAGATATTCCACAACCACTTGGAATATCCATTTGGGAGTTGTCAGTATATAAATAGAAGATGGGATTTCAGGACCCTAGCTCAAGAATGCCTTAGGAGAAAAGGTAGAGCTGGCAAGAAAGAGGCCTGGGGTTTATCTTGAGAAACTGTCATGAAGACGTGTCATAAACCTATAGAAAGAAACAAAAGAAAAGTTAGTAGATTAAATGTCTCAATTCAAATGGGGAGGAAAATAGTGCTTAAGAAAGAGAGAGCAAGCAAGTGATGCTCAGGATTCAAGTGAGAGTTGAGCGGCATCCTTATCCTCATTGGTAATCTTTGAGAAAGCTGTATTTGGTAAAATGAAAACAAGAATGGTTTGAGAGTGAGTGAGAGAAAAGGAAATGCAACACTTCAGTAAAGGAGGCATAACAGCCCCAGGGACATGGGGACATGGGAGGAATTTAATTAGCAGACAGTTAGGGCAACAATCAGGAACACCAATGAGAAAAGAGCAGTTGCAAATACTTGAGAGAGAATGGGTGGATAATTTATAGTGCTTAAAATGCCAAGAACAAGCATAGTTGAAAGTACACTTGCTAGATAGGTAGGCCTGTAGCTTCAGCAGCATGATGAGGCTTCAATTTTCTCTGTGTAGTCCACACAGCCCTGCAGAAGAGGGTGGAGAAAGGGAAGCTCAGAGACAACAGATGAGTGACAGTTGGAAACATACACTGTGCATAGTGAGAGAGAAAACAACAAAGAAATGAAACTGGAGTGACTGGGCAGTTCTTGAGGACCAAGGAAGATGCTGGGGACTGTAATCTTGCTGGTATGTTTAGTTATGTGACATTCTCCAGTGGCACCAGGCTTCTTGGTGTGCACATGAAAAGGACAGCAAGACCCACCCAGAGCTAGACTTTTGTGACAAAGTGAACGAGAAAGAGGGACTCCAGTGAAGGAAGGTGGTAAGTTTAAATAAGATTCTACAAAGAATGTAAAAGCTAAGAAAAGTAGCATTTTTCCCATTGTAGAACAAATGATGAGGATAGAAGGCATCAAGAATAATGTGACCGTCCTTTGGAGCCCTAATGTTCTGCTGTCCACCAGCTAGTAGCTAAAGAGGCTACTACCCACTGTGTGTTCCTAGTACCATGTTTCTCCCTCTTCCCACATTTTCTTTTCCATCCTGCCTCCCTATTTTTCTCCTTCCATTTCTCCCTCTCTTTCTCCTTTTTCCTTCTCCCCTTTCTTCATTCTTTCCTAAAATACTTACGTGCATTAAAAAAAATAATCTATTTAATTCTGTTTCAATTTCATATGTTAAAATTATTTTTAAATCGGCAAATTTTGCTTTGCAGTATAACTAAATTAACAGTATAAAAATAATTTAACTATATTTCTGGTCTAACCAGAGCTTACTGTAATAGGTTATTTTATTATATATATATATATATATATATATATATATATATATATATATATATATATATATATATATATAAAATTCTATATAGGTTTTACATACCTGCACAGTGAAAAGAAATCTAGATTCGCCAGCCAGATGTATTTACCACATGAATGGTAGAAAAATTGAAGATATCTCGAAAGGTAAGCGGCAAATATTTTGTAACTCCTGTGATATGGTCTTGAAGAAAATTTATATACTTTTCATTTCAAGCATTTTATAGAAAAAATCAAGAATTTAATTGTAGCATGGATAAACGCTGTATTCTTACACAAAGGGGCACTGAGTGCTCTTGTAAATAACTTTCAAGGAGCACCAGGGTTATAAGAATTTTCTTTTGCCTCAAGTTTGAGTTGTTTTTAAAGGTGACTACTTTGAATCTAGCGAGCCAGATTCAAATAAGCAATCACTGACATATCTGTGTAATTTAACTACTGATTTCTATGGCATCCAATATCTAAGAGACCTTTTTGGGGCTTGGATTGTGGCCTAGTGTTTGCCTAGCATGTATAGGGGTGTGGGTTTAATCTCTAGAGCAAGAGAGAAGAGAGGGAAGGGGTGGAGGGAGAGAGAAACGAAGAAGAACAGCCTACTGAGGTTATTCAGAAATTATATGATGTGCTTCCATTGTATGGGACAAGATGTTAACATGCTATTTCTAAAGATATTCTCCCTGCAAACAAAAACAGCACAGATTCTACAATTACGTGTGCAGAATTGCTATTGAAATAGAAAGTAATGTCTATTCATCTAACTTTACTTCATGCCTGATGAGGATTTATAGATTTAGGTAACACAATTTGAGCTGTATGGGCACACCCTTATGGCTATAGTCTGGAAAGGTGGCCACAATGGATACTTCCCAGATTTTCTCCTTTTTCCACTTAAACTACATGAAAGCAGGCATTTCCTCGATTCTTCATTCCTTAATTAATGCTTATCTAATGATAGTTGAGCCATTTTATTCTTCACAAACAACTTTCTGAATGATTTATGTGAGTATATGTATTTAGAAAGCAATTTTAATTTTTTTGTCATTCAGAATTTCCAACTGAGATTTCTGTATTCCAATGATACCTGTGTATTACCTAGAAACAGATAAAGTTTTCAACTATCTATCATCTGTAGCTCTGGGAAACCTTTGTGCCCTTCCTGGGGATGGAAGGAGCTTTATTAAAATTGATTTTTTTATGCTCCTATTCCCTGCCTCACATTTCCCCACAATCAGTAATGTTTATAGTTGTTCCTGAGCTTGACTTAAGAAAGCACAAACAGCATGTTTTCTTAAGCTCTTATCTACCGTGAAGTAATTTCTAGCTCTCCTGGAATTTTAAACACCAGCCTTGAGTGGGTTGCTTGAACTGAACAACCGGGAACTTGGTTAACAGGAAAGTTTTATATTTAGAAAGTTGTATTTATTTTCTTTTCATGAGTAGTGTCACAAAATTGCTTTTCGGGGACTCGGGCAGGCTGAGGTAGGAGGGGCACAAGTTCTGGACATGGTCTCAAAAGGAAAAGGAGATTTACTGACCCGAAGAGTGAAGGAGTGACGGAGACGGCTTCCTCATGGGTGCCAGGGTTGTTCAAGTGGTTGCCTCAGCTTCATGGGTCCCAGAAGTGTGCTATTATTACATTTTAATTCGTGCCTCGCCCTGTGGTTTTGCATACTTATAAAAGCTTAGGTCAGCAGAAATCAGCTTACTCGGCTACCGACACTCAGAAGCATCACGTGTTCACTAGACTTCCAACACGTAAAGAGGCGAATCCTGCTGGAGGCACTTCCAGCCTGTACCACTCCTTGTCCCCTAATCTAAGGTTCTAAAATTCGTTCTCCTTTATCACTGTGATGTGGTACAGTAGCTGATTGGAATCCATGACTTTCCTTTTGATTGTCTTCCAGACCTTGATTTAGGAATGGTCAACTATTATGTTAAAGATAACTTCTAGTTTAAATGAATAAATACAAGTACTCTTAATTTGCTGTGGCTTTTGTTGTTGTTGTTGCCTTTGTATCAGATCAGAATGTAAGCTAATATGGCCTAATGTTTAAGATCGCACTGGGTTTCTCTCAAAAGTACAGATTAGCCGTGCAGTAGTATGAATGAGTAAAAGCACACGGTAAGATAATAATTTTCCTGCATGCTACTTCTATCTTGGAATTATGTAGGCTTTTCAACGTTCCTCCTGTGATACGAGCACATTTATTATGACATTTAACTGCTTTTACATCGTCACATCTAGTGAAACCTTTAAAGGTCTCACAAGATTTACAATTTTCTTTTTCTGTGGTGAGGTTTCTGAGCCAGGGGAGATTTTAATTATACAGATGTAGGATGGGTTACCAGCATTGAAAGGGGTATGTGGCAATGAGGTCTTACCACTAACCAATAAGTAATCATGTCTGTTGGAAAAGGAAGTAACAGTTTTCTCCAGTGGAATGTCACTGGGCAGGTGCTAGGCTGTGAGTTATTTTCCTTGCAGTGTCTCTCATAGCGAGAGATACAAAAAAAGAATATTTTTCAAGCTTGTCAATGGTATGCTTTGTTCAAGTCAGTCTTGCTCATTTTCACTTCCTTGAGGTCAATAATCCTTGCTCTGTTTCTGCCTGGTTCTCTGTAGCATGATCTGGCCTTTGTCTTCCCTTCGTCTTAGGACCAGAGTTTGTGCAACACGTTTTGTTGTGTAACTTACGTCATTCTTCATCTCTACTTATTGCATGTCCTGTTCTTGTAAGGGAGTCCTAATCACTCTTACTCTAAACTGTAACATGAACAGCACCTCCTCACAGTGCATGGTGTTTGTTCAACCTCCTCTGCAGAGACTTGGGCTATTTTCCAAGGCCTTACCTCGTGTCCTCTGCTAGCTATTGTTGGCTAGTGCTTTCGACTTTTATAACATTTTTTTTTCCTTCCCTGTTCTATTTAAGAGAAGTTCAGCTTGGCTGTATCTACTCTCAGGATCTGTTTGTCTTTCCTTTTTAAATTGTTAAAGATTTTCTAAGATTAAAATGTAATTACGAAGTACCCCCCACCCCAGCCTTCTCCCATGACCTCTATTTTTTTTTAATTGTTGTCACAGACCCGTGAGTGCGCCTGTTCTTTATCTGTCACATACTTCGAGTTGAATCAGATTCTGACTTTGATCTAAGGAGTCCTCTCTTCTCTTTCAGCTGAACAGTTTTCTTTCTGTTTGCTCTTTTGCATACCCTGTTCTCATCATAACCTTGAAAATTACCTTCAGTCTGCTTTACTTCCAGATTGGCTCTTCACCAAATCTGATTTCTAGATATGTTATGATTTCTTTCTGTAGTTTCCTCTTCTTACCTGAGGAAGATAGAATGTTCTTTTTAGAATAAATCTACCACGTGTTTGGGTTTATGTGATTTAAAACTATGACAGGTTGAATAATAAAATAATTTGGAATCAACTTGGATTGCTGTAGCTTATTTTAAAAGCTTGAAGACCAGCTGCAAGAATGTAACACCAGTTCTTTTCTCACTTTGTTTTTTTTTTTTTTTTTTTTTTTTTCTCTCATGATTCAACTTAACACCTTAAATCCCAGCACTTGGGAGGCAGAGGCAGGTGGATCTCTGAGTTTGAGGCCGGCCTGATCTACATAGACAGTTCCAGGCCAACTGGGGCCACGTAATGAGTCTACATCTCAAAACAAAAAGCATCAGTAACAACAAAACTAACACAATAATAATTTAGAACGCCAGCCAGCAGATCTAGGTTGCTTAGCTAGTCGTAGAACTGGCGCCCACAATTTAAGGACAGGCCATCTCTGCAGTGTGAGTAGAAATTGCCTGGCATCACACTTTAAGGTGCCAGCAGAGACTATTTTCCACTATCCAATACCTGAAATGATTATGTTATCCACAGACTTGTTTCAAGTTTTAGATGAAGTTCAATGCACGATTAAAGAGCAGGCATCAGCAGCCCACACAGTAAAGCAACCTGGAGAAGCTAGGAGGTCGAACCATCCTCTGATCCTCTGCACACCTGGGAATACCAAAGCTAGATCCAGCCCCAGCCTGGCATTTTTTTTTTTTTTTTTTTTTTTTTTTGCAAGCAAAGACTGTTGGAAACAATCTCAGCTACACTCAGTTGCTGTGACCTATCAAGCTCAAATTCTACATAATTTTTGTTTACTGTAAAATTTAAAATCAAACTCTCTACCTTTGAGGAAAAATATAACTATGAACTATATATTCAAAGACGCACACCATAAGCTGCTAGCTTACAACTGATATTGAAAAGGAAGCGAGCAAGTAAATAAGCACATATACAAAACATGTAGCTCCTACACATTAGAATACCATCTGGGGGTTAGCGGTATGCTAACCCCCTCTCCATAAGTTTGTCTTTCATTTTGTTGTTATTTGCCACTCAGAATCACTTGTGTTATTTCTAGGCCTCCTGACCAACTTGGTCCCACAAGAATAATACTTTCCTGAATTTTGTGAGACATTCCTCAAGTTTGTAGCAGCTAGTCACAGGCGAGTACAAGAGTATTCTTGAAGATGGTTGTCTTATGTTGGGGTAGTCGTGTAGAACTGTGCCCTTCACCTTTGTAGACTGGATTTACTTTTTTAGTGTCTTAACTGTAATACAGTAATTAAGACTATGGTGCTGTATGTTAGTTCATACGTGGTTCCACTAGCCTGCCTCTAAGGTCCTAGCAACCTCTTACATCATCACCTGCTGCTGCCACCAAGTCATCACCAGGTGTGTGCTTGCCAGGTGTGTGCCTGACAAAAGGACCCCACCAGCATTCCCAGCACTCTTAGTCTCTTTCTTTCTTTCTTTCTTTCTTTCTTTCTTTCTTTCTTTCTTTCTTTCTTTCTTTCTTTCT